AGCGCGGGCCGGCTGCCCGCTGCCCGCGATGCCCATGCAGGGCGGTGCGCTGAGTCCCGAGGAAGAGCTGCGGGCTGCGGTGCTGCAGCTGCGCGAGACCGTCGTGCAGCAGAAGGAGACGCTGGGCGCGCAGCGCGAGGCCATCCGCGAGCTCACCGGCAAGCTCGCGCGCTGCGAGGGACTGGCGGGCAGCAAGGCGCGGGGCGCGGCGGCCACGGGCAAGGACACTATGGGCGACCTACCGCGGGATCCGGGCCACGTCGTGGAGCAGCTCAGTCGATCGCTGCAGACACTCAAGGATCGCTTGGAGAGCCTCGAGGTAGCGGCGCGCGAGGAAGCGCGGGGAAGCGCGGGGCACCTGGGAGAGGACTCCCCTACGGGAGTGGGGGAAGCACAGTTCACGAGAGGAATATGTGATCCCAGCAGGGCGCGCTTGTCCGCGGGAGTGAGCTGATATCCAGGGCACAACTAGGAGATCTCTATCCAGCTAAGGAACTTATAGACGTCGCATACCCTTCCCCTGTTACCCCCTTTCTGGAATGAAAGCGTTAAATTCCCCTCCCGTCCCGGGACTGCCACTGAACCCACCTTGCACTTCCCGAGTTCCGGACTAGCTCACAGGATGGCCAAGCCAGGCGCAAAATACCCGGGGTCGGTGCAGCCTCTTTCCTTTCTTGCAAAGTCGCTGAATCTCCGCGGGGCGGGACGTGAGCCTGTAGGCTGTGCCGGGTGTTTTGAGGCTGCCACCGGAGGTCAGCTGCCCTTGGCATCTGGTGTTTCCTTTTATAAATCCTGTCCGGCTGAACCAGAGGGGGCGGAGGTTTCGGGGGCTCGGCGGGAGGCTAGCGCTGCTGGACCTCCCGCTATCCCAGAACGCGCATCGTAGAAACCTCTTGTTAACTTCAAAGACGCCTCTGATTTCGAGGTGGACCATTTTAAGGAGCCCTTCTTTCTTTCCTTGGAAGAGGAAACCTTCCTTAACCCATCTCTCTCTCTCTCTGTCTCCCTCTCTCTCTCTCTGTACTTCAAACTTTGAGAGATAAATCCTCAATTAATTTTCGTCTTTACTTCCCACCCTCTTTAAGAAGTATGAACTTTTCTGTTAATAGCGTTTATCACAATACCTATTAACAAGACTAGGTTTAAATTGCAGGCGGTAATTGTTGCAAAATTATTTGAGTTTCTTTTGATATGATGGCTAAATATAGTATGTTTCCAGCATCCTATATCCCTTGATGCATTATGATTACTGACAGCTAATGTCTCCTAAGTACTAAATATCAGTCCAATGTATTAAATTTTAACCCGTGAAACAATGAGGCGGTCCTATTGTCTGCATTTTACAATTTGAAACACTTAGCTGTAGAAAGAGGTCAATAGCTTGCCAAGGACTCATGGCTAGGCAGTGGCTGGCTGCCTCCAGACCCAGCATGATCCTGGAGGAGTAAAAGAAAAAGGAAGTGAGCATTTAGAATCAGCGTTAAAAGCAAAGATTCCTGGAATTCAGAATAGTAACATATTTTACTGTCATTTTCCAGTAACATCTCTGCAAGCATCGTTATTTATGTGTGTGTCATACTAAAATTTGAGGATTGTTTTCATTTCTAGATGGAAGTTCATCAGCTTTGAGTACCATTATTTAACTCTTTTTTAAAAAATTCTACCCCTGTGTTGGTTTTCACCCAACCTAGAATTAGATATGCTAGTTAAAATTTTTACACTTTTTGGAACAGAAGAATAACAGCTTTTTAAGAGGGAAAATGAGATTCACACATTTCAAACATTGTGGCAAAGTATTCCTTGTCTGACTTTGAAATCCTTTCCATACCAAAACAATAGTAACAATAAGCATCAGTGAAATGCTCCCCTTCCTGCCATTGGCAGGGTTGAATGCTCAAGTTTCAGAATCTTTTTCCTTGTGGTCTGGCCACTGGAGCTACGTTTCACAATTTTCAACTGGCCTAAACATTAATATTTCTCCTGGTATCCCTCGTCCTCTCCTTCCGACAGCAACAGCTACGAGTGAACGCATCCAACGCGGGGCTGCCCGGTGACTTTCGCGAGGTGCTCCAGCGGCGGCTGGGAGAGCTGGAGAGGCAGCTGCTGCGCAAGGTGGCAGAGCTGGAGGACGAGAAGTCCCTGCTGCACAACGAGACCTCTGCTCACCGGCAGAAGACCGAGAGCGCCCTGAACGCGCTGCTGCAGAGGGTGACGGAGCTGGAGCGAGGTGCGTCCTTTCCTTGTTTCTCTGTCTGGGAGTAGCCAGGTTTTCAGCACTTGCGATCAAATCCAGGGTTTCAGTTGATGGACAGCAGTGATGGTGGCACACGTGGAGATGGTTCCTGGATGTTTGAGCAAATAAAGCTGTCTGACAACAGTTGTCCTAGGGATTAGCCCCCAGCCCCCACTGGCATTATCCCTGGAAAAGCAAATGAACTCGGACTAGCTTGCATAAACAGCCTGATCTCTGACCTCCTGCCAGGTGGGCGTTTCAGTCCCTTCTTAGCTAGTCTTTGCAGCAGATTCTATGTATCTTTCTCTTCTTTGCTTAAGCTGTGGTGGGAAAGTTTCTCCCTTGGGAGATGGCAAAGGGTTAAGGACTCCAAATGATTCGAGTTGCACTATTAACTCCCAAACTGCTGGGTGACCTGCGTATAAAGTAGGTCACACTTTAGGTTTGTGGGACTTGGTGTAGAATTATAATCCTCTCAGATGCACTAACCTGACAAAGGAAATTTCTTTCCTTTTAAAATTTTATTCATAAGAGATATCAGATTTTTGACAGGGTCTTATTGCATTGAGATCCTCCTGCCCCAGCCTCCCAGCTCACTAGGACTGTAGGCTCATGCCACTGCGGCTGGCTACTGGGGCCTCCCAAGTGACCTCAGCTTTTAGTAGCAGCATCTTAGCAGCATACACCATCATGGCTGAGCCCCAGAGCAATGTCTGATGACTCAGTTGCATGAGAATGTCGAGTAGCAAAACATCCAGTGATCTCTGTGAATGACATTGGCCCAGAAGGGCAGATGGAGAAGGAATAGCATCCCTGTCCATTTTACAGCAAGCTCCCACAAATCACAGGTGTCCTTCAGCGTCTTCCTACTCTCTTCCTTCAGAAAAGCCCATTCTTTCTTTCCTGCCCTTCTTAGAAAAAGGGTGTGTGTGGCTTACCTGTTAGACTTGGATTCTTGAGTTTCCAAAAATATTTCCTCTCTGCCTCGCCTCCACTGCTGGATGACCTCAGGAGACTCATTAGGTCTCGAGAGCCTTCCCTGATGATAGAGCAGCTGCAGCTGTGGCCTTGTAACTTGACAAGAGGGGGTGGGGGCAGGCTCTGGTCACGGGTAAGTGTAGCTCTGGGGACCAGACTTGACCACAGTGGATCCTTAGGGCATTCAGGGCAATGAGAGTGGCACATGAAAGTTACTAGGGATCTTGAAAAGGGTAGCTGTAGACCAAGAGAAGGGCTTTGCCTAAAACTGTGGTGGCTGTATATCTCAGTTGGTGCAGTGTCCAAGCTGCTACAAGGTGGTGAGTTAGTGGAAGTCTGTGGCTTAGAGCAGAGTAGTACCAGGCAGTATGCTGAGCACTTCATTCCTGGGAAATCAGACCAGAAAAATGCTCAGCTTTCAGCCAGACATGTGTCATTTGGGAAGAGGAGACCAAAGGGATATCTAAATACCCACCCATCCACCCACCCCCAAATATACAATGACTAGAAAATATACCATGTTCCTTAGAAGCAGCCCGCAGAGCTCAGAGAAGGTGGGGGGTTATGAGGGGCTCTGGCCTTCAGTCCCCCATCCTCAGCCTGTTATGTTCTAGACCAGATCCCACTTGGGAGTTCCAACTCTGTGTCTCTGTAACCCCAGCAACAACCCTGTGAGGTAGATGTTAGTTCATATGAGAGACTGAAGTCAGAGTAAGGGATGCCTACATTTATATGGCCAGGAGACTACAGAGCTGAGGTCTGTTACCCCAGAGGAGCAACAGAGGTTGCAACCCAAATTGCAGCTTGGGCCCCTGCCCTGCTGGGAACAGGCTCCCTGGAGTCCAGCAGCTAGCACTCAAACCTTGTATGTGGATGCTCACAAGAGTGAGCATCTGGGTCCCAAGAGTGCTTTTTGATTTCTTTGTTGTGGGACCTGCTCTTCTGCAAGGGCCTCTAGAGTCTGGCCAGCTGGCCAGGCACAGCCCAGCTTGGTGTTGAAATGAATGTTGGCACTGAGATGACCAAAGCCTCTCTTCTAGCTCCAGGCTATTTGTCCTCCTCCTTTGCCTCATCTGCTACCTGCAGTTTCTGATTAATTGGTCAGGCCTTTTAATTCCTTAATTGGTTTTAACCAAGTTTCCTCTGAACCTCCAAGCTATTTTATTTAAATAAAGGACACTAGCTTTCAGGGTGTAGGCCCCTTCCTCTGCCCTTTGACTCTCCCAGTTCTAAGTAAACCTATCTGTTGTCACTGAGCTAATGATATTCCTGACACCAAGTCTTATTAAATTGGTAAGTCTGCCCACCTGCAAGCTGAAATGCCATTTCTCTTTATTAGATAATGATACCTCCATTAAGAACATGGTCTTTACCACTTGAAGATTAAGGACTAGCAGCTATATGTAGTTGAAAGAAAGGCTTCTAGTTCCTGTTGTCAGTCACTAGCTATGTGACTTCAGATAAATCACCTCACTTCTCTGGGCATCAAGGAGCTTCTAGTATATATTGTTTACTCTGAGAGAAACTGTGCTTGAGGGATTGTGACAGGGAAAGATTGATCTACTCAGGCTCCTGTCATACAGAAGAGGTGAGGAAGGGATTAAGCTCATTCCATCGTTAACAGCAGCAGCTCAACTCTGTTGGTTCTGGCTCCAGAGAGCCTGCCTGAGTCTGAGAGCAATGGAGACCCTTGTGAATGCTGAATGAAGACTTGCTGAATGAGTGAAAAGCATTTAGGCTCCTTCACTGGCAGGACCTGGTCCCCAAATAAGAGGAAAGCTTTTTCCATGACAGCTTACAGGACCAAGAGTTATCCTGCAAACTTTGGAAATTATGATAATTGGACAGGGGCTACTATTAAGTGAACTTTGATCTTAAACCAAAACTGTATTGAAAATCACTTAAACCTTAAGGGTTGGTTTTCAAGGATTTCAGATGTGCCATTTACTTGGGAGTGGCCAGGGGAATTCTTGCCAGTTCCAGGAAGTTATAGATGGGTCAAGGCCAAGGACCAGGAGTTTATCCTGGGTGGGGAGGGATGCCCCTGCATATTCTGCCTCCCACTGGCTTGACACTACAGGAAGTGATCAATTACCACTGTCTTTTCTTGAAAAAAGGCCAAGTCCACAATAGGGATTTAGACCAGAAAGCCACTGCTGGGTTAAATGATGGTATTAAGACCCAGGAGCCTGACACTCTTGCCTTGGCAGTGGTCATTCCTTAGTGAGAGGTGATGTGGGCTAAATGCTTTAGACAAGTGTTTACCAAGTACCCAGTCCCTGTGAGGTTTTCTTCCTTTAAGCTCAAGTGGGTGGATTCCAGACCCTACCATTTCTGAGAGGTTCATATTTAAGGAAATAGCTGAAGTGACAAAACTTCACAGAGGTAGGGTTATCTGACCTTATGTAACAAGTACATTGGATATACCTTGCCTCTGCTCACGTCCTCAGACCTTCTAGTTCATCACATATCACCATGAAAACAGGGAGGATTCACCAGAGGGGACTAGAACTTTTTCTCTTCTGGATTCAAAGAGGTCTCTCTTCCTGTCCTACAAGATCAAGGAAAATTCTCAGCTGTGCCAAGTGTACTGCCCACAGAATATTCCTTGCCCCTGTTTCCTGTCCTGGTCCTCCTTGGGGCCTTGTATCTTGCTGTCATCTCTGCAGAGAGTTCTGCTCCACAGATGTTTTCATGCAGTTGACTTGACTCTTCATATTTGGGTTCCAGCTCGGATTCCTTCTCAACTGCCCTCACTTCGTCCAGCCACTTCACAGTAGGAGTCACTGCCTGGCCTTCCCTTGTTCATCTGCTCTCGTTTCCTGTCTGTCTTCCCTATCAGATTGAGCTCCCTGAAGAGAGCCATGTCCTGATAGATTCCAGCACCCGAAACAGTGGCTGGCATGGCCCAGGTGCTCAGGCACTTCAGGGACTGCCTTACTAAGGAGTCCAGGAGGGACATTGCTGGGCAGTGCTGGTGGGGGTGGCCTAATTCATGTCAGACTCTCTTCTCCTTCCTTAGGCAACAGTGCATTTAAGTCACCAGATGCATTTAAAGTGTCCCTCCCCCTCCGCACTAATTACCTGTACGGCAAGATCAAGAAGACACTGCCCGAACTGTACGCCTTCACTATCTGCCTGTGGCTGCGGTCCAGCGCCTCACCGGGCATCGGTACCCCCTTCTCGTATGCAGTCCCTGGACAGGCCAATGAGATTGTGCTGATAGAGTGGGGCAACAATCCCATTGAGCTGCTCATCAATGACAAGGTAAGGCCTGCTTCTACTCCTACTCTCCCCTCATCAGATCTGGGGATTGGAGGGAGTCTGTCCATAGCCACCAGCCTTCCATACTGCACAGGTCCCAGCCAGTCCACATACTTCTTTGTCCACAGTACAGGGCCACAGACAGGTCTCTGCAGTGTTGTCCTCTCATCATTGGAACAGTTTTACACCAAGTCAGTCCTACTCTGGGCAGCTGGCAGGGTGAGGGGTGGGCAGAGGCAGCTGTAGTTCACAGAGGCAGCAGCAGAGGGTCCAGGCTCCTGGGCCGTGGGAGACACAATGTGAACAGGCCCCTGCGTGCAGTCTGAATGGTTGCTGGCCCTTAGGCCAGTGAGGGCTAGTTCCTGGGGCCGCACTGATGAAGGGGATGCACACATGCTTATGCCTCTCTCTGAGTGATAGGATGTCTTGAGAGCATATGTTTTTTGAGGGGTCAGGTTTATTGAGATAAAATTTACCTACAATAAAACTTACCCTTCAACGTATACAGTTCAGCCAGTTTTGACAAATAGATACAGTTGTAGAACCACAACCACAATTAAAATAAAAGATAGCTTCATCACCCCCCTCCCAACGAAATTCCCTCATACCTCTTCACAGTCAGCTCTTGCCCTACCCCAGCCCGTGGCAACTATCAGTCTGTCTTCTCTACCTTTTCCAGAGCCAGTGTTCCTATCTATAGATTGGCTGGTTTCGACATTCTGGAATGTCATCAGAAGAGGTCAGCTCCGGGCCTCTTCAGGACCCTCCAGAAGTCCCACTTCAAAACTTTGATTCTAAAGTCAAACTCAGTGTAATACAAAGCGCATCCTGAAACCCCCCTTGTGAATTCAAGTGTTTGAATGATTATGCCAGCTCTCTGGCTGGCTAAGAACCATCACCATGTGGGGAGCAGTCTGGCCCCTTGCATTGTCTTCTCTTAACTGCCCTGGGGATGGGGTGTTTAAGTTGGCTGAGCTGTGGGAGTCCACCTGCAGTGCTGCTTCTAACACCACTTCCCCAGGCCAGGGATTAATTTTTCTAAACACTTGAGGACACAGTAGGACCAAGAGCCTTGTTTTCTTTTCAGGTTAGATGCCTTGTAAACATCTAATTCCTGGGAGGAAGGCTTCAGGTTGCTAGGAGACCCACAGTAACAACAGGGCAGTCCGTAGTCAGCCTTTCTGAAGTGTTCATAGGGTAACTGGGAAGCTGGTCGGATTGTTGTGTTCTTCCTCCAGTTCTGTGTTCAGTCTCTTCATGTGTGCACACCTGCATCCACACCCACCTGCCTGAAGGCCTTTGGGCCTCTACACAGGAGGTTGTGGCATCTCCTCTCTCCCCCAGCACACATGAGGATCCCTGAGAGCCACTGGAGGTTTGCAACTTTGCCTGAGGAGTACAGGTGGCTGTACAACTCTTTTCCAAACCAGTTGGCCTGTAGAGCTCTCAGGTTCTCTGACATAGAGTACTCAAGGCCAGTTGTCCAGTTCATCTTGGGCTGTCCCCCCCTGCAATTCCCCCCATGAAGTGTCTTTGTCACATGCACATGGCAGCTGGGACAGGCATGTTGCAGGGAAGAGGAGACTAGGCAATGGACCCTGGATGATGGCAAGAGCAGCAGCCCCAGGACTCCCAGTGTCCTCCCCACTTCCTGCCCTGGGAACTCCATGGAGAGAGGGCCTGGAAAGACAAGTCCTCACCAGCACGTTGCTCCCCCAGGTTGCACAGCTGCCCCTGTTTGTCAGTGACGGCAAGTGGCACCACATCTGTGTCACCTGGACAACACGAGACGGCATGTGGGAAGCTTTCCAGGATGGGGAGAAGCTCGGCACTGGGGAGAACCTGGCCCCATGGCACCCTATCAAGCCAGGTGGCGTGCTGATCCTCGGGCAGGAGCAGGTGGGTACAGGGGGGCACACCCTCCCAGGGATGACCAAGGAGGGCCAGTCAGCCAAGCTGCACCAGCCAAGCTTGCAGCTAACCGCCTCCACTTCCCAGCTCCAGCTGTCTACCCCTCAGACCTGGCTACAGCCAGCCCAGAGGAGCCAGGTTCCTGGAAGCATAGCCTACGCCATCTTGTGGCCTGAGGGGCCGAGGACAGGTGTGAGGTTATAGCCATCACTGGCAAGGAGTAGTGTGGTGGGTTCAGAAAGATTCACAGATGGAACCTGACCTGAGGGAAGAGTGTCCCCAGGTCTTGGAGTCATCCCGTGACACAGGTTCCAGCTTCCTTCTGGGATGGAGGCTATGGGAGGACATCTCCCAGGTCTGAGCATTTGGCCCTGCCTAGTACAGTACTGACTCAGGATGCTAGGCCTGGTATCTCCCAGGAGCTGCTTACTCAAGGTCTCAACCCTGGTCCCCAGCAAGGGCACTTAAGAAATGCATGTCAGGTGCTCGCTTGTGGGGAGACCAGCAGAAAAGAGTGAGACCTTGGAGGCCACCCTCAAGAAACTTGCACCTAGGTGAGGGAGGAGCTAAGTAGTCAGCCATCTGGTCTTAGGCAGATGAGAGCTGACATGTCAGTCTGTGCTGGGTTTTGATGATGGAAACACTGGGCACTTTGGGGTGCTTTGAGTCAGGCACCTCTCTGGCCCACTCCCCTCCTCAGTCCCCTGCTACTTCCTCCTGGGAGGGCTGGGAGTCAGGAACCACAGCTCTGGTCCTCAGCTTGGAACCTTGGACCAGTGCCCCGCCTTTCTGGCCTTAGCTTCCCTTTGTATAGATGAGGTGATTTGAGTAGAGTCAGCTCCCAGGCCTGACACGCCCAGGAGCTTCACAGCCTGCAGAGCTTGGTGTCCAGGGAGCCTAGTAGGAGTTGAGTGAGTCAGGGACGCTCATGTCTCTTGCCTCCCTCCCATCTTCCAGGGGCTTTAGTGGACATGTCTGCTTTGAGCCTGCCCTGATACAGACATCTCATTCCCATTTTCCAGGACACTGTTGGGGGCCGGTTCGATGCTACTCAGGCGTTTGTGGGGGAGCTTAGCCAGTTCAACATATGGGACCGCGTCCTCCGCGCACAAGAAATTGTCAACATTGCCAACTGCTCCACAAACATGCCCGGCAACATCATCCCGTGGGTGGATAACAACGTCGATGTGTTTGGGGGCGCCTCCAAGTGGCCAGCGGAGACCTGCGAGGAGCGTCTCCTTGACTTGTAGCTGCCTCCTCTCCATCCAGGAGGCTGAGGTTAGGCTATCCTGGGAGTCCAGGGTAACTTACTTCCCCCCGTTAAACTGTGTAAAGCCTCTTGCCAGGATGGGCTGGGGCCCCCAGTGCCCACTCCTAGGGAATCTCGAAGACTGAGGCTGTGTGGCAGTATTTGTCACCAGCTTATTTGTTACCAAGATTTTTGTTTGGGGGATGGTACCAGAATCCCCTGGGAAGAAGCCCTGAGCCGCAAGTGGGCAAATATCTGACTTCCTGCTGTGGGTGAGGTTGAAGTTCACGCCCCTCCCCAGCACCCTGTAAATGCTAGTGCAGCCCCAGCCCCACCTACCCTCTTGGAGCTCTGGTCCCATGTGTGCGCCTCTCGTCTGTCCCTTTAGTGGCTTTGTAGCCACCCGCTGGAGTGTCCCTTGTGTGTTGAGCACATCCCTGCCGTGAACCGAGCACGCAGCAAAGCAGCCACCACCACCACCACCACCCCCCATCTGCAGAGGTCCTATCCTGTGTGTCTATGTGTTGTGACTCTCTCCTTCTGAGGACTCTTGAGCTGGTGGAGGAGGGCCACTATCGAAAGCCCTGCCTTTCTCAAAGCAGAGGCCATAGTGGCTGTAGAGGGGAAGATTTGGGGGGATTCTGAATGGAGAAGGGCCATGCCCAAGCTCCTCCCCATCTGTCATCTCTTCCTCAGAACGATGCTTTGACTGAATCCTCACTAGATATGGCTTTGAAAAGGCCTCTCTTCTCATCTGGTGCCAAAGCACAGTCCCAGCTTTTACAATCATTTGGTGTGGTTGGGGAGGTATATCTTTCTCCTGACAGCAAAGGACAGTCATTAAAAGGCTCCCACTTTGCGACGTTTCATCCCACTGTGAGGAGTGTGCTCATTTTTAATTCCTGTTTATTCCTGTGAGCATTTGACTGTCTCCATCAACTATTTCCCCGAGAACTTTTTAAGAAAACGGATGTCATTTGGCTGACTTGTGCTTAGTGACTCCAGGCTGCTTCATCTATGGGACAGAAGTAGTTATTTATTTTAAAGATAAAACTATTCAATGGGGAAATTTATAAAGCTAAATATTATATATTTTATTTTTCATACATGTTTGAAGTGCAGATGTGTGGAAATTCCATTCGTAGGACCAAGTTGACATGCCCATCCTGACACTGTATGCCTCAAGACCTTCTGATGATGGAATTTTGATTAAAGTGCACTGGAAGATGCTTTGGTATTTGTTTTCTCTGAGTTTGGGGCTGAGGGTGGGGAGGGGTGGTCTTCCCCACCTTTGGCGGGAGGATGGCTGCCCTAGTTTGCCGGAGATGGCCACAGTGAGCCTATCAGGTGGACTTGGGCGGATCCAAGGATGCTTGGAGGCTGTGGTCCAGGTCTGCATTCTTTCCTCCTCAGGCCAGGCTCAGGCTGGGAGGACCCAGCAGTCTCTGTCTTGGCTCCTTGTCCCCAGCCTGTCCCTGTCATCTTACCCAGAGGATCGAACTTAGCTATCGGATGCACCATTTTTGAGTCGTGTGCCCTCTTTTTCTTGGTAGCTGCAGAGTATAACTTAGTTTGTCCCTTCCCAAGTAGCAATGTCAATTTTTCTTTCTTTCTTTTTTTATCTTTCTAATTTTTGCCAGAGGCCACATACACTTACCAGAAAGAGAGGAGCAAAGTGAAAAAGCACCCCCAGTGGGAATTGGTCACACCGTTTTGGGTACACACATGCCCCTGCCATGGTTCTTAAGCTGCCAAGTCTGGGACTCAAACAATGCAGTCAGTCATGTGGGATTCAGCCGCCTTCACCATGCCATGGGCTGGCCCATCAATTTCTATCATAATAAGGTCATGGGGACCAATGGACACCATAAACCATATGTTCCTGATACTGGACTCTCTAAAAACAAGATTGGTGTGTCACTGAACTTCCTGGAGTCCACTTTCAATGTGCATTATAACTTGGCAGGAACTGAATATCATTAGTGTTGGGTAAAACATGAAATTAGGCCAGATTCCCTGCTTGGGGGCCTTTGGAATCCACAGTGCTGAGGCCAGGTGGAGAGCAGTTTATTTTGAATCCCATTCAGGATGAAAACACCAGCTGCTCTGATCTCTCTTGAAAGGTGCTGAGGGGTTTCCTTTTTCTAAACATGTGCCAGACTCTGAGCTGAGCTGACTTGACTTCCTAGCACTACCTCCTGTAAGAGCAAACCTTTGCAGTAGGACTTTCGAGCCCCTGCCCAGTCAGATAATGTCTTCCGTGCAATTGGAGAAGCTTTGAGTCCAGAATGGGGGCCCGAAGGGCTCCTTGCTGACCAGATGTGGTAAGATGAGAGAATTTCCTCTACTTATCATGGTGATAATGTTGGTCTTCCTGTTGGAGATTTGGCCTTCCTGACATAAAAACAGACACAAAAATCATCCATGCAATCCAGTGAGTTCTTTCTGCCTTGAGCCTCCCATCTGAAGACCCATGGCCTTAGTTTTCCTACTCAAGATCCTGACCCTTGGCTCAAGGCTGGAAAACACCTTGATAGTGAACTAGATTCTCAAAAAAAAGGGGATAGTATCATGGATGATGGAATGGTTTGATCAGTTAAGGGTTGACTACAGAAACTGTAGCTGAATGATCAATGGCTGATGAATTGAAAAGTGACAAAATACTGCTAATTAAAGGCAGTCTGGGACCAGGTCTCTGCTGATGGGGAAGGCAGGCCAGGAAACTTGACAGACTCACAGGGTTCCAGCATCAGCTCACCCGAGATAGAAGGGCTTAGAAAGAGAAGATGAGCTCCTGTCAAGCATGGGAATTCCACTCATTTTCTCAAGTATTTTAGGCATCTATATGTCAGCTACAATACTAGGCACTAGAGATACAGTAAGTTGTAAGGTAGTAAAATTCTCTTTTTAAATGGAGATATATTCCAGTAGAGAGTGTAGATGCAGGCAAATATATAAATAGGAAAAATGCTGTGTGATGTGACAGGGAGTAACTGAGAAATCACTTCCTAGAGTACATTTAAGTTGGAGCTTGATTGAAGAAAGGGAGATAATTTTGGATGGAAAATCCCAGGCAGAGGGAATAGCCAATGTGAAGAAAGCCCTTAGGTAGGGCTGAGCTTGCAATGTTCAAGAGAAGAAGCAGGGTGGCTGCATGCTCCGGGGAGGAGAGGAGTAGTAATGGGATAGAAAGCTAGCAGGGCCAGATCACAGAGAGCTTGAGTTTAGATTGCTACTCCAAGTGAAATGAGAAGTCTGGAGGTTTTTACATAAGGAAGTACAACAATTCAATTAATATTTTAAGGGCACTACTCTTCCTAGTGGGTGAAGAATGAACCAGAGAGGGTTGCAGGTGGAAGCTAGGATGGCACGAGTACTACTGTACTAGTCCAAGTCAGAGGGGATGATGACTTGCACTAGAGAAGGAACAGAGGAGATAGAAGTGTAAGGATTAGGATATACTTGGAAGTAGAGTTGTCAAGACTTATTTGAGATCTGGGATTTGGTAGAGAAGAATCAAGTATGAGGTTTTAAAAAGCTTAATGAGCTTCAAGTAGAATAAACTCAGATCCACACCTAGAAACATCATAACCAAACTGTCAAAAATCAAAGACAGAAAATCTTGAAAGCAACACAAGAGAAGAGTCTCACCACGTACAAGGAATTCTCAATAAGATTTACAGCTGAATTCTCATTAGAATTTACAGAGTCCAGAAGGCAGAGGGATGATGTATTCGAAGTACTGAAAGGAAAAGACTGTCAACCAAGAATCCTATATCTGGTAAAATTATCTTTCAAAAATGAAGGTAAAATTAAGACATTCCAAAATAAATAAAAACTGTTGAAAGTCAACACTAGCAGACCTGCCCTACAAGAAATACTAAAGAAAGTTCCTTCAAGCTAAAATAGAAGGATACTAGACAGTAAGTTAAATCTGCTTCAAGAAATAAAGAGCACTGATAAACTACTGGGTTGTCTAAAAAGTCATGATGACTTTTTACATAGAAAAAAAGTAATGACTTTTACAACTCAATATATAGGTAATTAGAGAGCGTAGATGTAATTTTTTGTTCGTAGTTCTGATTTGAAAGACAATTGCATAAATCAACAGTTATAAATTTTTACTGATGGGCAATAAATACGTAAAGATATGACATTAACAGAACAAAAAGTGGGTAGAGAGTGGAGCTATGTAAAAGCAAAATTTGAGAAAGTCATGTAGAGAAATTGATATTAATCTAAATTAGTTATAAATTAAGAGGTTAATTGTAACCCCCAAGCAACCACGAAGAAAATAACTAAAAAGAATGTATTAAAAGGAACAACAAAGGAATTGAGATACTACACCACAAAACATTCATTTAACAAAAAATAAGGCAGTAATAAAGAACAACAACAACAACAACAAAAACGCATGAGACAGAAAACAAACAGCAAAATGGCAAGCATAAATCCTACCTTATTAGCGATTACATTAAGTATAAATGTATTAAACACTCCAATTAAAAGGTAGAGTTTGGGGGAACCAGCAGTTAGCGTAATAATGGCTATGTCGCTGGACTCCCACATAGTCGACCGCGGTTCGCATCCCGGACCCGGTGGCTTAAAACTCACGCCGGGCGCATGTGCGTAAGTGCCCAAGATCCCGAGAGGAGAATGGAGGAGAAGGGATTGCGGCGTGACCATCCCCCCTGGGGGGTGATTTCTCGCTTTCTGTCTCTATGTCTCTCTCTGTCTGTCTGGCGAGCGCACGCGCCCTATAGCGAAAACCTCTCCAAAAAAAAAAAAAGGAAGAGTTTGGAACACTAAAATTTTTAAATGCTCTATATACAATCTATAAGTGATAAACTTCAGCTTCAAAGAGATACAAAAAGAATGAAAGTAAAAGAATAGAAAAACAGTGCATCATAAAACCCAAAGCAAATCGTTATAAAAAGAGAGCTAGAGTAGTTTTATTACTATCAGACAAAACAGACTTTAATACAAAAACTTATTGGAAACAAAAGTAATTTTATCATGATAACATAGTCATTCCATCAAGAAGGTATAACAATTATAAGCACATATTAATCGAAACACGGATCCCCAAAATACAACAAAAGCTAGCAGAATTGAAGAATAGTTCTACAGGGAACCAGCAGTTAGCGTAATGGCAATGTCGCTGGACTCCCACATAGTCGACCGCGGTTCGTGTCCCGAACTCGGTGGCTTAGTAATCACGCACGGCGCGTATGCATTCACGCCGGCCGCGTGTGCATGCATGCCCAAGATCCCGAGAGGAGAATGGAAGAGAAGGGATTGCGGCATGACCATTCCCCCAGGGGGTGATTTCTCGCTTTCTGTCTCTATGTCTCTCTCTGTCTGTCTAGCGAGCGCACGCACCCTATAGCGAAAACCTCTCCAAAAAAAATAAAAATAAAAAGAATAGTTCTTCAGTAATAGTCGGAGACTTTACCAGCTCATTTTCAATAATGGATGGAGCACCTAAACAAAAAATCAAGAAAGAAATAGAAGACTTGAACAACACTGTAAACCTACTAAACATGATAGACACATGGACTCTACCGAACAACAGCAGAATCCATTTTTCTTCTTAAGTGCACATGAAACATTCTCCAGAATATATCATATGTTAAGTCACAAACAAGTCTCAATGAATTTTTAAAAATTGAAATCATTAAAGTATTTCCTCTCTTCACAATAGTGAGCTGGAAATGAATAACAAAAGGAAACTAAAATTTTTGAAAATATGTGGAAATTAAACAAACTCTTAACTAATGTGTCAAAAAGGAAATTACACTGCAATCCCTTCTCCTCCATTCTCTCTGGACTTTGGGCATGCACATGTGACTGGCATGTTTTTCAAGCTGCCAAGTCCTGGACTTGAACTAGATCCCCCAGTTACATGGGATCTAGCTGCCTTAACCACCATGCCACCTGGCTGGCCCAATACTTGGGCTTTTTTATCAGCTTGCCCAAATACAAGCAAATGGGGAAGAAATATAGGTGAAGCTTAAAATCTATCAGGCATCAAGCTTCAAAAATGGAGTCATAAGTTTTTATTCAGAACTAAAAGAACTGGAGGAAATTACATGGGTTCCACTTCCACCATAACTAGTATTCCAAAGTGGAAAAAGAACACTTCATACTGGTGTTTTCTTTTTTCTTTCTCTTTAGAAACTTTGTGACATAGCACTAAAAATTTAATTGTGCATCTAGAGGCAGTAAC